GCTTGTAGTGAAGTGCGGTGCGGATATAGATATAATGTTCCTGTAGCTTGTGGGGTAATGTTCGTGCGACCAACATCTCAACAGCGTAGCCAGTGCTTGCCAAGTATTACATAAAAAGAGACGCATGCTTGTAGTGAAGTGCGGTGCGGATATAGATATAATGTTCCTGTAGCTTGTGAGGTAATGTTCGTGCGACCAACATCTCAACAGCGTAGCCAGTGTTTGCCAAGTATTACATAAAAAGAGACGCATGCTTGTAGTAAAGTAAGGTGTGGGTATAGGTATTTTGTTTCTGTAGCTTGTCCTCGCAATGCTCATTAGGGCTCACAGCTTTGACAGTGTTTGAGTATAGTCTAGTTTCAAAGGTAGCTTCTTCAATAAGACCATCGAGATATAAGGTAAAAAACAACGAGATAAAAGGTTGGTCAGCGTGATCAAATGTCTTATTACTACCAAAACACAATAAAACAAGATCTTGATTCCAGACGCATGAATTAAACATATTCCAAAAATAATCTTACACTTCACCAAAGTAGTTGCACTCCCAAGTGCTGGTGGCAAGCAAGGCACATCAGTGATGGCACTGACGAAATCTCTATCTTGAAGTGTGTTCCTGTTTAATCTATAGATTGCAGTAAATGTAGTTCCATTCCAAATGGCTAAAGGCTTTATCGATAATGTTCAATATTACATTGTAATAGTTATGGGAGTCCGTCAGCTGATTTCAAAAGTGAATTAACGGAGAACAACGACTCTCGCATTCCATGCTGCATTTGCGTCAAGCATTTCCTAGATAAAAGACGGCTATGGTTTTAACAAATGATGGCTTCAGAAATAAAGTTCTTGAGTGACTAAGCTGTGTTGGAATCACGGTTTTCCAAGAACAGTTACCGCAAGATTTGAAAGTCTTTCAAAGTAAACCAATGAAATAACCCTTGTCGACGTCGACGTCTGTATATAGACATGCTTTGGGATGTCTCGAACCAAGTATTTTGATAAAGGCTTTATTTTGCATATTTGAACTGCACGCTTTGATCCATACAGTATACAGTTGAGTGCTCTGGTCTGTACTCTTACAGCTCTGGTCTCCTCAATCTTTATCTCTGAATCCATACAGTATACAGCTGAGTGCTCTGGTCTGTACTCCTTGCAAAGTCACGTGAGGGCGGCCATGTTGGATGACTCAAATTTTTATTTAACAAATTCCTTTCCTATACACACCTAGGCTTAGTTTTTAATCAAGGGTCTTATTTCGAAGAGACTGGTGGCGTCTCGTCCATTTGTTGTCGTGGAGGTCTGGGTACACGTCGCTGTTTTAAGTTTGACGTCACAGCTGCACCAATAACATTTTCGATAAACTTCTGCATGTTGCGCACATCTTCTTGATCGACGAAAGTCTCTGGAAAACGATAGCTGAAAAAAAAAAACAAGAAATAAATAAATGTGCTAGAAAGCGCGCTATCTAGAGAGGTCAGATCAAACGAATTGTAGCAGAGACCACACTCTCAGATACCTGTCATTCTGACTGCGCATGCTCGACGAATGCATTCTATCGAGCATGCGGTAGTAATGGAAGACCGTGACATAGTTTTGTACAACGGCAGCGCAAGCTTTTGTTGTCAGTTTTAAAATATGCTTGTAGTATACAGGGAACCTTTGTAGGTCTAATACGTACAGTTTAACTCTTTATGACCTAATTATTATTTAGAATAAACCTTTGTAGTGCGATAACGCAGTTCTCCGTCATAGAGAAAGGAATAGCACGCTTCCAATGTATGCGTCGCTTGTCATGCACAAAGGTTTCAGCACGAGGCTACGTGCTAAATTACTAACTTATTCATTTCTCCTGTAACCAGTCCATGAGCAATATGCACAATATGCCTCACACTGAAACCTTTGTGCGTTAATACAAGTGAAGCATATATTTCGGAAGTGGGCTATTTTAGGCGACTGTAAATATAGGTCATTGTAAGCATTATTTGAATGGAATTTTCTGTTTAAAACGAGTTCGCTCGAGTTTTAATTAATTCTTTATTCAATAATATCAGAACTTAGGATTATAGTTTAATGAAACTAAATACAGCCAAGGCTCGTTACTTTTTAATTTGTTTTTAATTAAATAACTCATATTTTCTCAACTGAGGAAAAATACGCTCAAAAATTATTCGTATGACTTATATAATTGTAGGTTATGAAAAAAAAAAACAGTTTTGAGCAGGAATAATTTAATATGAGTATTAATTAATATTATTACTGGTTTGAATGTTAAAAAGTTGCTTTGCAGCTAGGCGCTGACATCAGACACTCAAAACATGTTTTAACTGACTTCTGAAACTTGTATCTTTGTCGGCTAACTGAAAAATTTTAACGTTTGTCGATTTCAAAGGCAGTCAAAGTTTCGATGTCTGATATCGCGCCTAGATGCAAACGACAGTATTTAGTTATAGGCATACAATGGTTAACATTTAGTAGGTATACTTTGTGGATTTAAAAAACGGCATCATTTGACACTGCTTTATTTATTGATAATATAGTATAATTAAAGTGCATCAAAGGAAATTCTAATTTGCAATGGCGTACCCCAAGATTTATCTTGGGACCATTTTATTAATAAGTTAAGATATGTAAGCTATTCTTATTGACAACCGTATGTATACCCCAGCTTTTAATTGGGACCGTTTTATTGATAAGTTAATATAACTCGCAATAAAAAGATTTGACGTCTAAATCAAATCATATTTTATTATTTATTATTTTTATATCTTATTTTATTTATACAAGTTAAACTAGAAGCTTGTGGGGCCGTGTATCCTCCACTCTATACACACAACCATCAACTCACACGTCGTGTTTTTACGGAGGGAGGAAAACTGGAGAACCCGGAGAAAAACTTGTAGCACAGAAGAGAACAACACATTAAACAAACTCAACTCACATGCTAGCTTGGTCTAGTCTAGGTTACTTTTGAAAATAAATAGGATGTTTGTATGATGGCGTCATTTGACTCCCACTACCATAATGTTCGCGAATTTTCTTTCTTATCACAGTTGGTGCTAGTTTACTGAACAAAAGAGAGTGTGTAAGGCATTTTGGTAGTAGAGGTCAATGACGCCATCATRCAAACGTCCTATTGTCTTGAAAAAGGGCGTATGCAAAAGCTAAGGTAATTAGACCACGGTTTCAAAAATGCAATTTTGAATTCCTTTTTTAAAAATAATTAGTGTGAAGTAAAATTGTAGTACATTCGGAAATTATAAGGGTTGTTGTATACAGAGCATATGTGTTTTTAATTGCGCCAATAAAAGAAGATTAAATCTCGTGTATTGATGTGTTTATTCCAAGCTGTTCTCTCATAGAATCAGTCGCAGAGTGCAAACCGCATATCCGTGAAATAGCACAGAAAGTAAATAGCACTAAACACATCTATTTCTTTTGTTTTCCACCGTTTCATTGGTGCTTCTTTGCACTAATTAGTAAGTACTATTTTGCGGATAGATTGCATACCATATATCCGTGAAACACTTTGTAAGAAATTGCACAAATTTGTACAAATTAGTAAGTTCAGTAGACCTCAGTAGACCGTAGACCTACAAAACTTTGCACTAATTTGTACAATTTTGTTAGTTAACATTTTCACGGATTTATGGTATGCACTCTATATGGTATGAACTCTAATAAGACATACAATCATTAAAGTTGATCAAGCCGATTCCCGTTACCTTAGCCAAAGATACACATCACAGACTTCATGTAATGCCTCGGTGTCTTGAAGGCTTTTCAGTGTCTTCGGCATCGTAGGTGGCCAGGAGATCATGGTTTTCAGGGTCCTACTCGACAGCGCCATTTGCTTACTGATATATCCTGCAAACTACAAAAGAATCGTCAAGTCCAATTTTAGCGTCACAGAGCTGTCCACAGAAAAATAAAGAACTTGAATAGATTTCGTATGATTATGAAACTTCACGGCACGGTTCAGCACTCACGGTAAAGAATCTACGACGAAAGTCTTTAAACCAGTCACAGAGCGCGAAATCATTGTTCGTCCAATAAAATACTCGCACACGGCACGATCACGGTACGGCACACCACGTCTGTTCAGTGAGTTTTTACAGTCATACTAGACGAGATTTTTCAATGAAAAACCTCATGCACACATGGGAGGGGCTGTTAATCCTTTGGTACAGGACTGCGCAGAGGGCGGAGAAGGAAATGTTTATAGGTCACAATGGTGCGCAAAGAGCGTGTGTTGAAGAGGCTAATCGATCTTTTGACTCACCCTGACCTCGAAATTAGTTTTTCCGCGTCCTTTATTCTCTGGCTCCAAAATTTTTGTTTCAGTCAAATTCTTATTCCCCAGGATTCCTCGAGAAATTCCACCAGGGGTGTACGAGAATTAACGGACCCGTAGACACGAAAGAAAAACGATTGTTTACCTCTACTACCATTGCAGATGACAGGTTTTTATTGATGTTAACTGGTGCTTGGCTAATGGCGTACTGTTCAGATATTGTTAAAGGGACGCCATCAATAAGATCAGACAAATACTGAAAAGCAACAGAGAAGTGTTATTTAAATTAAAGAAGTGGTGGTAGTGGTTGATGTGACTATTACGTTCATGGACAATGTTGTTGTTGATGATGATGATGATGATGATGATGATGATGATGGTAAGAGTGTCGGTGAGGATGATAATGATGGTGGTAATGATGATGATGATGATGATGATGGTGATGATGATTATGATGATGATGATGGTAAGAGTGTCGGTGAGGATGATAATGATGGTGGTAATGATGATGATGATGATGATGGTGATGATGGTGATGATAATGATGATGATGATGGTAAGAGTGTCGGTGAGGATGATAATGATGGTGGTAATGATGATGATGATGATGGTGATGATGATGATGATGATG